ACATAAATATCTTTAACGTTAAAAAGACAAACCATTGCTGTCGATTCAAACTCACAGCGACCCTACAGGACTGAGTAGAATTGCCCTGTAGGGTCTCCAAGGCTGTAAATCTTTACAGAATCTCTGGCAGAGCAAACCACGGACCTTTAGGTTAGAAGTCAAGTGCTTAACCTCTGCACCACTAGGGCTCCTTTCTTTCACATTACACCAAAAACCCACTGCTGTGGAGTCGATTCTGACTCATAGAGACCCTACAGTGTTTCCAAGGCTAAATGTCTATGGAAGCTGACTGCCACATCTTTCTCCTGAGAAGAGGCTGGTGGATTCGAACCGCCCACCTTTGGTTTACAGCCAACCGCTTTAACCAGCGCGCCACCCGGGCTCCTTCCTTTAACATTACAACTGTATTATTCAGGAGCCCTGGTAAGGCAGTGGTTAAGCATTCAGCTGCGAACAAAAGGTCAGCAGTTGGTACCTACCAGCTGCTCCATGGGACAAACACGTGACAGTCTGCTTTTGTAAAGATTACAGCCTTGAAAACCCTATGGGGCAGTTCTACTCTGTCCTACAGGGTCGCTATGATTCGGAATGCACTCAAAGGCAATGGGAACTATATTACGTATTCACGCCTTTAAAGAGATGGAAAGTAGCGGACGTCATTGGTTGCCTACCGAGCATCCATTCGCCCTTTCAACTTCTTACCCACATTTCCATTTGGGTATCCACCCATTCCCATATAGTCCACGTACTTCAGGGAAAGGTGGTCCATCCTTAAGTGTAGCAGTTAGCCCTGCCTGGCTTAAGGCAATCACTACATTTCAGTGGCTACAGTCACTGGTTCGGCAGTCCAAGCAGAACCCTTGCTTGAAATGTTAGGACCAAGAGACTCTCTCCCCCAAGAAGATATGAATAAGAATACATGTGGCCCCAGTTGCCACTGGCAGCCATTCTACAACCATGAGGATAACAGTCACAGATTGAAGCTGACATGAGAAAACAGAACAGAAACAGAAACTGCATCTTTAATACTGCTGTATTGCTGGATCAACCAACTGTAAGTCTTGCCCTGCCTTTGGACTTTTAGATGAATGAGCCTATAAGTCATTTTCATTGTTTATTATTTTATTGTGTTTAAACCAGTTCAAGTTTTCTATTATTTATAACACGAAGTACAAATTGATATTAGGGGGAGAGGGAGCTCATTAACAAGCATATTTCTAGAATAGATTATTACCTCAATGCTTAAATTTATGATGGCAGGTATTGAGAAGGAATTATTTCTAGATACACATATCACAATAAAAACATGCTGAATGATGATCTTTCTAAAAAAAGGTTCATAACAGAGCTTGAAAATTAGCTACCTTCAATTTTATATGGTCCACATGGTATCTTTAAATATTTTAATTTGACTTTTAAAATGTTATTTTTTTCAATCTAGATTTTCCGTTCTTCCTGAAAAAGCAGAAGGTATGACACCATGTGGGCCTATGTTACTGCAAGACAACAATCAGTTTGAACAGAATACACACACACATACACAGAGGGAGTCAGTGAGTAACGCAAATGGTTAACGTGCTTGCCTGCTAACTGAAAGGTTGGCGGTTCAAACCCACCCAGAGGCACCTCAGAAGAAAGGCCTGGCAGTCTACTTCCAAAAGATCACAGCCATTGAAAACCCTATGGAGTACTGTACTCCTCTGACACACACAGGGTCACCATGAGTTGGAATCAACTCCACAGCGACTGGTTTTAGAGAGAGAGAGAGAAAATTTTTGAGGAGATTAAATGTATAAAGCACCTAGCCTACTGCCTGGCACATAATAGGTGGTAGTAACTTTTTTAAGTCTTATTTATAATTAATTAATGTAATTTCCTTCTTTGAGTAGAATTAGGACTAAGGTAGACAACTATCAATCAGGAAATATTTAGGTGCGGCAGTACTAAAAACATTTCATTTCAGTTCCCATATCTTCTAAAGACTGGCCAAGACCTCAGATATCCCCAAAAGAGCATGACAAGCATTATAAAGAAGATACTCATGGAAAGAAAGTACCTGCCATCTAATCTTCTCTGCAACTTTCCCTGCCCTACATGAGAAGAGAAGGATGATGAATGACATCCATTACCTTGCAAACCAGTAGCTGTGAAGGACTTAAGAAACGACCTTAAAATCTCTACCAGGCTTACAATTCTAGGCAGCATATAAGCAAACTATTACTACAGAATTTGAATTTTCCTTAATAATAAAAATACAAGTGACTAGTCTTTGGACATCCACCCCGCACACAACACATTCCAAAGAATAACCAAACCAAACCAGTTGCAGTCAAGTCGATTCAAACCCATGGCAACCCCATGTGTGTCAGAGTAGAACTGTGCTCCATAGGGTTTTCAATGGCTGATTTTTCAGAGGCAGATCACCAAGCCCTTCTTCCCAGTTGCCTCTCAGTGGACTCGAACCCCTAACCTTTTGGTTAACAGCTGAGCTCTTAATCATATAGAAGACTTCAAAACCTCCTTCTGTCAAAGGAATGTTGCGTCTTCAGACATAACTAACTAACTACGGACTATTACTGTCACAGGATTTCTGTTCATCATCCAAAGTACATAAAGTTTACAAAAAGAAAACAAAAATCAGAAAAGAAAGTTTACAAGTTCCTCTAGTTTGAGGTAAAGAAATATATCAACTTACTTTATCTTCTTAAGACTCACAAACTTTTAAAATCTCCCCACACAAGATCCCCAAAATGTTGAAAATTGTTGAAGCTGTGTAATGGATACCAGAGTTCATTATATTACTCTATTTTTGTGTATATTTGAACATTTCCATAATATAAAGTTAAAAACATATATGTATATGTGTGTGTCTGTACTTATATATAAACTCCCAACACAACAAATTGGTAGAGAAATGCTCAATTTGTTCCAAGTTTTCAGTCCAAAAATGTAAATTTCACCTACCTACTTTCTTATTCTAGAAGTAGTATGTGACCTGACTATTATTAAAGGTCTAGTGAAGGAAATAATTAACTGCCCTGGAATAAAATAAGCCTAACCTTGAAAGCATTAGGTTGGTGGGCAATAAAACCAAACCCATCAATTCCAACTCATACTGACCCTGCAGGACAGAGAAGAACTGCCCCACAGAGTTTCCAAGCAGCAGCTGGTGGATCCGGAACGGCTGACCTTTTGATGAGCAGCCTAGCTCTTAACCACTGTGCTACCAGGGCTCCTCGTGAGAAACACAGGTTGGAATAAAGAAATTTAAAAGTTCCTCATTAGAAATGACAGGCATTTCTTGGAATGGAATAGGAAATTATTTAATATCTATTTTTTAAAGTAACATTCCTAGCTCATAGTATAATCAGCAACTTCTAATGACCAAGCATGCTGTAGTGGTAGGAATTTACAAAAGAAATAGACGATATACTCTTTCACGATCCTTTTTTCAAATTGCCATTCAATTTTCACAAGATTACTTTAAATGTAATCTTAAATTCATTCCAAAATTTAACCTTTATGTCTAAAAATAAAACTATTCAAAATTTAATGTGCAAGATTTTTGCTTTTAAAACTTATCCTGGCAAAGTCACTTTAATATAACTTAGGCAGACCCAAAAGAGTAGATACGTCTATTCATTTACATTACTTCTCTAGTCCAAAGAAAAGGTCGTAAGAACTTATTTAAAATGTTAAAAAATAAACGCAGACATAAATATACATCCTAAGAAAAAACTTTTTACAGATAACTCTTCCACTACAACTCCCTTAAAAACTTCCATAGCAACAATTACTTCCTTAGCACAGAAGTGATCTGTTCCAACTCTCACAAAACTTGGAGCATCTAAATTTGCATGATCCTCCTTAAACTGAAAGATACAAGAAGTTGTTTCATTTAGATCTGTAGAATTTTGTGTTTCTATACTGGGAAAAACTATCATGAGTCTGCGTGTAGCACATGGCTCTAGATTTACTTCTTGCTCCCCAACCCACCGAGAAGAGTAAATGCTCATAAAATATGTATCTACTTACCAAATTAAAGACAGTTTCTACAATATCCCTGTTGGATACTTCTCCAACTTCTACCAACCCCGTCAGCACGGCAAATTTCATTCTGATGCCTCTGATGGGGATTCCTGGTTTCAGGGACAATCCACCCCATTGAGTTGGGATTTCTTCTCCTTTTCCTCCACCTCCCCCGTCATCACCTGTTGGTGGCGGGGAAGGGACATGGTTGTCTTCACTAGCCATTGCTAGTTCACGGGAAAGGACACCTCGGAGTCACCCTGGGACAGCAGTCTCTGCACTAGTAATAAGCACAACACACGCAACGCAAAACGAAAAGGGTCTCTGCCTTTCAACTTGTGGAGAAACCCCAAACGCGGTTGATGTGAAAAGTCCTTCGGGTCGGCCTCCTCTTGGAGAGTATTTGTCCAGTCTCTCTCCCCGAGGCTGACAACAACGCCAAACCCTATTGGAAGATTAAATATATGTTAAATAGGCTAGGTTTTGTTTTAGGGGTTCGGGGGCGGAGGGGAAGGGAGATAGTTATTGTGGGCCAAATAAGTTATTAAACGACCCCCACTACCAGCCACTCGCATCTCCCGAGCTCAAGAAGCTGGGTTCTGAGCGACCGCGGGTTCAAGAGGCCCCTGAACAGGTTCACTCCTCCCCCACACGCTCTCAGGTTCTAGGCGCAGGGCGACCTCTCTTCACAGGTGCACGGAAATAAAAACTGTCGGAGGGAAAAGAGGGGGTCGGAGGAGAGGAGGGAGCCCCCAAGCTACCACCGAGGTAGAAAGTTCCTCCTCACCCAGGTCCTCCGGACTCGTCCTCACCCCCCGCCAGGGAGCAGCGAGCCGGAGGTGGCGGCGGAGATCCAGGGCAGGAAAAGGCGGGGGAAGTGGGCGGTGACTATTCTCAACGCTCGGCCCAGGGGAGGCGTGGAGCACCGCTCTCCAGACACCTGAGGTTCGCGAGGGAGAGGAGGGGAGAGAAGGCAGCCGGGGAGGCCTGGCGGCGACGGCGGGGAGAGAAGGGAGGAGAGAGAGGTCAGTGCACCTGGTCGCAGCCTCCAAGTTTCCCTAGTCTGCTCCCTGGGAGTCCGCGGTTGCACAGAACTCCATGGCTTCCTGGCCCGCCCCACCCCTGGGCTCAGCCTTTGCAAATACAGCAGCTGTTGGCACTACAGACGCCGAGACTAAGGCTGTTGCCGGTCGTGAGGATGCTACTCCCACAGCTCGCCTCGCCGCGGCTCGCGCGGCTGTCCCTGTTCCAACTGAAGCTACTCCCGGCCGCCATGACAGCGCCGAGGGCTGCGAGGCGCAGCGTGCGCGTGCGCGAGCGCGCGGGGCGGTGGGGCGGGCGGGCGCAAAGGCGGAGGCGATCGCGCGGCGGGGTGGGGACGCGCGGGCGGCCTGGGGGACCCGGAACCGGCTGGGGAGTTGGGTGCTGGCAGGGCGGTGCGTGAGCCTGCGTATCCGGGCGGCCGCGCAGTTCAGGTAGCGCCAGGTGTGTCCTGGCCCGGCGAGAAAAGACCTTTCCTGCCAGGGGCTGACCCTTCCCGCTCCTCACCCTCACCTCCAACCTTGGAAGGTGCTTTGGCAAGTGCTGAGGCGGTGATTTTAACGCTTCCTCTGTTGTTAAGTTACCGTAGTGTCTCCTGGCGCGGAGGAAAACCGCCCCACGTTGCCAAGGTGTCTTCTCGGACTTGGAGAAGGACACCTGGGGGACCGCTACGAGCCAGCGAGGCTGCTGTCCCTGTCTAAGGGGAGCAAAGATTCCGCACCCCTGACTGCTTTCAGCTGCTGCCCACCCGCCGCGCTTGGCGAAGACTTGGAAAGAGATTTCCTCTGGGATGCCCCTGCAGCTGCCACCATTCAGAAGGGGAGGGGCTGAGGCCGCGTCAACGAGAAAAAACTTGCAGCTGCCGCCCCACCAAACCTCTTCTACGTCCTAAGGAAAGGAGGATTCCTGAGACAGCTGCTCCAAATGTAGCGTGGAGGTGGAGTTAATTTTGCATGTAAATCCCGGAGGTTTTTCTTTTCCTCTCGTAATTTTCCAATGTAAAAGTTAGATTCGCCTCATTCTGAGTTTAAAAGATAAATTACATTAGGGTTGAAACCAGTAGAGATCATCATAATCTAAGAGTCCTTCCCCTCCGCTCCCACTATTAACAGTACAGCACGCTTCCTGATGGCGTTGTGAAAAATAAAAATCACTGTTATGGTACTCTTAAGGTCATAAGGCCTTAAAAAAATAATAATGTTTAAAATACTCCTTGCTCCCTGAAATGAAAGTGAAGCAAAACGTGGGATCAAACAAAAGTTAGTACTATGGAGGAGTCAGGAGAAAAAATTATATTGGTATGAGAGACAAAATAAGTTCTGGAACGCCTCGAATTTATATTTCAAATTGTTAAATGAATAAATCTGGAATAAGAGGGAGTAAGAGGGAAAGGGGCTTGCCTGCAAGAGAAAGACAACTTTCACTTTGCCCTGCCTTGAGTATATTGGTGTATCCGAAGTGCTAAAAAAGTGTTTGTTAAATAAATAAATGTCCTCCCTTAAGAAGGAGCTTATGATGATAGTGAAAATGCTCTCAACATAACGGTAGTCAGAATTATTCCGTCTGAGTTATCTAGGACTAATGGTTGTGTCTTTCACTGTTAACACTGTGCTTCTACTGTGAAACAAAGTAAATGTGAAACAATTATCCCAATATTTTCAAAACAAATTGTCAAATATTTTTTACAATTTTTCAGAATTATTCAACCTCCTGCTTTACTTTGCCCCATGGCTACAGTAAAATAGTTGACAAAATTTGAAGGTTCACTGAGAGAAGGATAAGAAGGTAGAAGGGGAAACTATTCACTAGCCAAGCCACCATCAAAATGCAACAGCTGAGGATTGTTCAGGTGTAAAACATGTAACTGTGGAGTTTTTCAAAGTAAGCTGTCTGCCCATCAGATCTTAAGCTCTTTGATGACATAATACTCTGTATATTGTAGGTACTCAGTACATATGATTTGGAATGAATTGAAATTCTAAAGCTACTTGCTTTAATTTTTCTGACCTAAAAGCCCTTACCTGAGTCTACACAGCTACTACCAGTTAGAGGGAGGAAAAACTTGTATATATGGCTGTCTTAATATAGAAAGCAATTTCACCATTTGTTAAATTTTGCTTATATCTTTGGTCCTACTAATGAAAGTTTTCTAGTCGAGAACCTTATATGAAGTATCATCAGATGAGTTTACAGGACTATCTCACCTGTAGCACGCACTCAACTACACAGACAAAAGGGAAAAAAAGATTACCTCCTGTAGAGCCAGGCTCAAATTTCATATCACCATCTAATGTGTATTTTAATCTTTCTCTGACATCAACATTTTGTCAGAATTAAATTAAGGACAAAGGGTTTCCATAAATTTACTTCCCTTCAGCATGCATTGAAACCATAGCAGAAAAAAAAAAAAAAAATACAGTAGATTCAGAACAGGAAGCCTTGTGCATAACTCACAGGAACTCAAGTAAAAAGAATGTAATTTCATGCTGAAATCAAGATTATTGATCTGCAAACCCTTACCTACATACAAAGGAAAAATTTTTGAGAACAAAGATGGGATGGAATTTTCTTTCTACCCAGAAGAATACCCAGTCTATCCATTGTAACTTTTTGGCATTTTGCTAGGATATAGGTTACATGATGACTTAGAGGAAAAGCACCTTTTGCTATGCAGCTGTGTGTGTGTTTATCCCTGAATTTGATGTTTTCTTCACATTGTTATTCAGCATAGCTTATAATAACTAGGCTGGAAAGTCATGGGCCTGGCTTGCAAACTATCTCCTTGTGAGAAAGTCAAACATTGCTTTCATCTTCATTAAAGCTTACTGATGTGAAATACAACTTCAAATGGTAGTAGTCTTTGTTAATGACATTTTATTGGGCATTAAAAATGACATTAGAGCTAAATATTTAATGGACATAGAAAATTTTCATGGTATATTAACTCACAGGACTTTATCTTTTTGAGTCATATACTAATGGCACAAACTATGAAGCATGACAGCAGCTCCACGGGAGAAAGACCTGGCGTTCTAGTCCCATAAAGATTACAGCCAAGAAAACCCAATGGGGCAGTTCTACTCTATCACTTGGGGCTCTATGAGTCAAAAACAACTCAACAGTACTCAACAACACTCACTTTGAAAACCTGTTGAAAGACCAAATAGGACCAAGAAATATTTAAAGCAAAAGGAAATCCACTCGTTAGTTCAGATCATTCCCAAAAACATTTATCAATGTTCCTATGTAGCAGGCACTACATTAGACATTTAGGTTAGAAGTAAAAAATCCAATCCCTGCCTTGAGGACTCAGAGTGTAGTCATTGAGGTGGACATTACAAGGCAGTATGATAACCCTATGAAAACCTAGAAGAGAAACTTCTAAAAGGTGATACCAGAAATGAGTCTTAAAGGATAAACAGGACTAAGCTAGATGAAGAAGTCAGGGAAGGTCATTCCAGGGTATGAAAAGTCTCCAGCACAGTTGGACATTTTGACCTTAGAAACCAAATGAAGCAAACTGTCAGTGTTAACTAATTGGAATTTTCTTCTGGGTGGAGCTATAGAGCAGTAAAGATGTTGTTCTCTTAATATATATTAAAAAGCACATCCTATCACCCTCACTTTGCTTACACCCTCTTTATAGATATTTTTTATATATGAGGAACTTAAGTTTGGGTAACTCTTATCACACCACATTAAATAGTATTATGATTGTTTAAAATGTCATTATGATGTTTATTGTCCCTGCACAAAGAGGGAAATGGAACTGAATTTGAACTCACACAATAGGCTGCAGAAGAGAAAATAAATAGATTAGAGTCTAGGTTTTAGTGATGAATGAAAACTAAGACATCATCCTTAAATTAGAATTATTACGTGAAACTAGTGAATCTGGGAGCAGCAAGTAGATTGTTAAGGGAGGTTGCTAGAGAGGTTATGATGGAACATGCTAAATTAGGCTAAAGACTTTGGAGTCTACCCTGAAGTCAATCTTCTGCCTTCAGAGAATTTTGAGCAATAAAGTGATAAGATTACACCAGCCTCTTAAGAAAATCACTAGCAGCTATCAAGCCTCCCCTCAGTATTTGGGTGGAATCCTCCATTGTTCACTGTTTATTGGTAGGATGCAGCATTTATATTACTTTATAATTTGCATTTATAAAGTTGCAAAATTATGTGGGATGTGATGACAGATTAATTGTTCTTATTGTTAGTTGCTAACAAGTGAGCTCCTTCTTATGGCAACCTTACATATAACAGAATGAAATATTGCTCAGTCCTGCTCCATCTTCATGATAGTTGGTATGTTTGAGTCCATTGTTGCAGCTGCTGTGTCAATCCATCTCATTTAGGATTTCCGTTGTTTCCATTGGCCTTCTTCTACTTTATCTACTTTATGATGTCCTTTTCTAGCATTTGGTCCTTCTTGATGAAGTATCCACATAAGTGAGTCTTAGCACCCTTGCTTTTAAGGAAAATTCTAGTTGTATTCCTTCTAAGACTGATTTGTTCATTCTTTTGGCAGTCCACAGTATATTCAACGTTACTTGCCAACACCACAATTTGAACAATCAATTCTTCTGTCTTCCTTTTTCACTACTCAACTTGCACATGCATATGAGGTGATTGAAAAGACCATGGCTTGGGCAAGGCGTTCCTTAGTCATCAAACTGACATCTTTGCTTTTTAAAATTTTAAAGAGGTCTTTTGCAGCAGATTTGCCCAATGTGATATGTCATTTGATTTCTTGATTGCTGCTTCCATGGATGTTGATTGGATCCAAGTAGAATGAAATTGTTGACAACTTCAATTTCTTTTCCATTTATCTTGGTCCATTTCTGAGGATTTTCATTTTTTTCATGTTCAGGTGTGCTCCTTACTAAAGGCTGTAGTCTTTGACCTTCATCATTAAGTGCTTCAAGTCATCTTCATTTTCAGCAAGCAAAATTGTGTCATCTACATATCATAGGATGTTAATGAATCTTCCTCCAATCTTGATGCTGCATTTTTCTTTATGTAGTCTGGCTTCTCGGCTTATTTGTTCTGCATACAGATTAAATGATTAAGGTGAAAGGATACAACCCTAATTTTGAACCACACAGTATCCTCTTGTTCTGTAGTTCTTCAAACTACTGCCTTTTGATCCATGTACAAGTTCTACATGAGGACCATTAAGTGTTTCTTCATTCATTCATTCATTCATTCACTCATTGCAAGAGGGTACTTAGTCTTAGGCCTTGTCCTCAAAATGTTAAGAAGCTGAATATAAAGTAAAAATGTCTTAGATTATGTCCTCACAGATATCACACTATTTTTAGTAATAGGCTATGGAAATATGTAAATATTATTTAGCTGTTAAACAAATACTTGGATTGAAACATATTTGGAAGATTGAGGTTACGGTGGTTAAACCTGTGTGGCACGGTCCTAGGAAAATGTATTGCTACCTTTGTCATACATGTACTCTTATTGTTGTTAGGTACCGTCGAGTCGGTTCTGACTCATAGTGACCCCATGTACAACAGAACAAAACACTGCCCGGTCCTACATCATCTTCATAATCATTGCTACATCTGAGCCCACTGTTGCAGCCACTGTGTTAGTCCATCCCACTGAGGGTCTTCCTCTTTTTTGCTGACCCTCTACCTTACCAAGCGTGATATCCTTCCCCAGTGACTGGTCACTCCGGATAGCATGTCCAAAGTACATGAGACAAAGTCTCACTATCCTCACTTCCAAGGAGCACTCTGGATATGTTAATTCCCAGACAGACTTGTTCGTTCTTCTAGCAGTCCATGGTATATTCAGTATTCTTACCAACACCATAAATCAAATGCATCAATTCTTCTTAAGTCTTCTTTATTCATTGTCCAGTTTTCCCATGTATATGAGACGATTGAAAATATCATAGCTTGGGTCAGGCACACCTTGGTCATCAAAATGACATCTTTGCTTTTTAACACTTTAAAGAGGTCTTTTGCAGCAGATTTGCCCAATGCAATAGGTCGTTTGATTTCTTGCCTACAGCTTCCATGGGCATTGATTATGAGTCCAACTAAAATGAAATCCTTGACAACTTCAATCTTTTCTCCATTTATCATGATGTTGCTTATTGGTCCAGTTGGGAGGATTTTTGTTTTCTTTATGTTGAGGTGTAATCCATACTGAAGGCTATGGTCTTTGTATCTTCATCAGTAAGTGCTTCAAGTCCTCTTCACTTTCCGCAAGCAAAGTTGTGTCGTCTGCATATCACAAGTTCTTAATGAGTCTTCTTCCAATCCTGATGCCACGTTCTTTTTCATATAGTCCAGCCTCTTGGATTAATTGCTCAGCATGCAGATTGAATAAGTATGGTGAAAGAATACAACCCTGATGCACACCTTTACTGATTTTAAACCACACACTATCCCTTTGTTCTGTTTGAATGACTGCATTTTGGTCTATGTACAGGTTCCGCATGAGCACAATTAAGTGTTCTGGAATTCCTGTTCTTTGTAATGTGTCATACATGTAGCCAGCCTCAAAGACAGGAAATGACATCTTGGAGCTGTAATTACCTAATTCAGTGGGTCTTAACCTTGTCTCTGCTTTAGAATTACCTGTAATCTTCTATAAATCCCAATGCTTGGACCAATTAAATCAGAATCTCTGAAGTGAGACCCAAACATCTATTTTTTAAAGCTTCCCAGATAATTCCAATGTGGAGCCAACATTTGTAACCGCTGATCTAATTTGCTTTTCTTTGATTGTCATCCCTTGATGACATATACAGAATAAATTTAAAGTTAATTAAAATTAACTTGTGGAAAGATTTTAGCATCACTTATTAAGATTAATGAGTGTCAGCCTAGAATGTCCCCAAATCTGGACAGTCTGGGTTATATATATCTATTCCAAAAGAAAGAGTCTTCTAAATTAGAAGAGAGAAGAATTGAGAGTTCTGTGTAAGGAAAAACGAACAACAGACTGTTGCTACATTTCACATTAAAAGCAACACAGAAATGGTGTCAGTTTTCAAATAGTTTATTTCTAAAACAAAATATAATTAGCAAACAAGAAAATATCACTTGAGAAAATTACTTCTAGGATCTAAATGAGATTAATGGAAATTCCACGATCAGCAACTACGGAAGAAATAGCTGGGGGAAATTATCTTATGTATAGTGTTGCTGCTGTTGTTGTTAGGTGGCATCGAGTCGGTTCTGACTCATAGCGACCCTGTGTACAACAGAATAAAACAGTGCCTGGTCCTGTGCTATCCTCACACTTGTTGCTATGTTTGAGCCCATTGTTGCAGCCACTGTGTCAGTCCATCTCGTCAAGGGTCTTCCTCTTTTTGGCTCACCCTCTACTTTACCAAGCATGATGTCCTTCTCCAGGGAGTGGTCCCTCCTGATAACATGTCCAAAGT